GGGAAAAGCCCCAAGGAAAATCTATAAAGAAATAACTGCCACGAGCCTTTCCTTATGCAATTCAAGAAGAGAGCAAGTTTTCCAAATTTGCTTCTTCCTAACCAGAGGTCCCATCTCGATGCACCAGTATATTTCTTTGGTTTCCTTGAGGCTTTTGTAGTGAAGATTAGAAAGATGTAGAGGACTTGTAGGTATTGGGAAGCAAAAGAGATATTTTTTTCTTTAATTTTTAAAAAGTTACTATAAAAGGAAATTTTTAAGAAAAATGTTGTGTACGGAAAAGAGTTTTTTAGATAGTATTAATTTATATACTAGAATAGCAATAGTTTAATTTATAAAGATGTTTGATATAATAATTGTGTTATTAATTAGTAAATAAAGTCATATATCTAATATCATTAGCCAATTAAAAAAATATATATAATTTTAGTACTGTATTTTAGTTTTGAAATATACAATATTATTAAAAACAAAAAATTAAATATCAAAAATTAATTAATAATATTGATTTTTTTTTTAAATAGAATTAGACAGTAGATATTGTTGACATTAAGATGGCGAGTCTGTTGCTTGGAGCAGAAGCTAGACATTTACCAGTATTAAAATTAATATAACCAGCTCTTGCAAGTTTCTCATCTTATATTGGTCAAGAACCTCCTGATAATTATTTTGATAAGATTATACAATTATGGGCATTTGCTAAGGGGCATATGACAGTTCTTGAAAATACAAATGCAGGAGATTTCAATAATGCGGTCAAGTGTACTATATTAAAATCTAAAATGGCTGGAAAATATGCTTCAGTATCAGCTAATGATTCATATATTGTTGGTAATCCTTCCATTAATACTCCAGCAACTTTGAGGACATGGGCAAGAACAAAATATCAATAAGAAACAGTTGGAACCAAACAATCTGCAATTCAAAGATTAACTCAAGAAAGATTTTAACCTTTTGATACTCCAGATACCTACAAAACTAGAATTCGACCTCTTTTGTTAGGTGTATCCAATAATGATGCTTAAGTCTTGGGATTTCTTAAAAGTCAATTATTAGGTGAGCTTTTTACTTGGATGAGGTTTGATGCTTTAGTAGATATTAACGAATTTTTCATTGCATTAAAAAATATGTAATTAGAACGTACTCCAAACCTGTATAGAAGATCAAATTTTGATCAAGTCTCAGCTATTAGGCCAGAGGCTAGCTTTTCAGCTAATATATTACCTACAATTTCTCAGCCAGAAACCAGCTCACACCAATTACAAACTAAATCTATAATACCGGTACAATCTTAACAGAAAAGATCTAATTCCGATGATTATTCTAGAGTACCAGATAAATATATGCCAAAAAGACCTGCAGATGGATATAGTGTAAATTCTGAAAGATTTATTCATGCCGATATCATAAATCCAATTCCTTCAACCAATCAAATTATGGAATCTTTAGCTAATAATCTTTATAAAAAATTGTCTGATATGTTTTCAGCAAAACCAGTGCAATCAAAGAATAAAGAAACCAGTATTGATAATATAAATGAAATTACTAAAGGTATGTCAAAATTATTATTAAATTTAGCAAAAATGGCAAAAGAGATTAATGCCGTTAAGAAATCATCTCAATATAGTTGTTTAAATTGTAATAGAACTGGACATAATTTTTACAAGTGTACTTGTAAGAAAAGGTCCAAGAGCAAATCCAAAAAGAGAGGCAGTGTTAATAAGGTTGCTGTAGATTCGGGTTCAGATACAAACTCTTCCAATAATGATTCTTCAGATAATAACTTTGATTCTGGGGATTCCTTATCTGAGGTTGAATCTGATTATAGTTATAATATACATATTTCTAATACAAAAAAAAACACGTAAAGTGGAAAAGTAAATCAGATAAATCATTATCTAAAAAGTCTAGTTCAAAAAAGAGACAGAGTCTCGAATCTCCGATTCAACGTTCTTTACAAAAATACAAAAGAAATCAGGTATAATTATTGATTTACAAATTCGAAAAATTATTCTAGCTATGTTTAACGATCCAGAGTATACATATTACTGAAATTCGTAGATCCTTGACACAATTGATGCAATTATTTGACGCAATTAATTGAGTCACTATTAAAACATATAAATAATTGAGTCATGACGCAATTATTTTTGAGGATTTTGGGAATTGAGTCAACAGCAAAATAATTTATGCCACATGTATAATCCAGAGGTTATAGAAATAATTAGAAACAATATTAATAATACAAATTTATCTGTTACAAAACCTGACTTTATAAATTATCGAGAGCCAGCTCCAGAAATATCCGATTCGGATGGGGAGGATGAAATGCTAAATGATTCTATGGAGATAGATTTTGTCTGCCAGAAAGAACCTGTCACAAGCCTTGCAACTATACTGTGTAAAATCAAATGCTTAAAAATTCCAGCATTGGTACTTGATAGTGGGACTGAACCTCCAATTACGTCAGAAGATATTGTTAAACGTGTAAATTGGCCAATTAATAAATTAGAAAAATACGATCTTAGTGGTGTTGCAACAGTCCCAACAGAATCTATTGGCATTGCTCGTAATTTCTCAATAACATTCCCTCCAGGTTTTACCATATGTGAAGATTTTGTAGTTGTACGTGTTTTTAAACCAACATTGATATTCCCAAACCCACTTTTCAAGAAATATAAATGTGTTATAGATTAGGATAAAGATGAGTTGAAAATTTCTTTTAATGAAAAGAATCATATTATTCTGGTTACTATACACAAAGTCAAGAATAAACTCGAAGTAAATTGCACTATCACATCACAGGATGATAGGGAAGAAGTCACATTGCTTTGCAATAAGCCTTTGATATCTGATCAAATTTCCCAGAAAATAGATGATAGTGAGGATAACAATATACCATTCGAAAAGTGGTGTGCTCCTGCAGGCTTTAGCTCAGATTCTAACAGTTCAACTTTAAAAAAATATATATAAATTGTGAGAATAAGTCAAATCATGAAAAAGAACTTGAAAAGATATTATTTGCCAGTATTCAATCAGTTTCTGAAATAATTGAATATTATAACAATTTGTGCGATCAATATATGTTAGAGACACTAGCTCCGCTATAAAACAAAACATTGATTTTATACTTATAAATCTAAGGAATACATAATTTAGAGACAAGAGTATAACTACTCGCTCTAATTTTTTCTATATCTTTTTGGTTTCTCTTATGTAATTCCAAAATATCTTCAGTCTCTTGTAATGTAACAGGTGGTGTAGTTCTTTTTTTTGCTTTTAATGATATTGCACTTAACTTTTTAGTTAAATTTTTATTAATAGAAGATTGATTCAAAATATGAACAGGTTTGGGTTTTATTTTTTTAATTGATGTCTCAATAGCTGAAGATTTCTTGCTTTTAAAATCATTTAAAATAGAAGAGTTATCAAAATCAGAAGGTGATAGAGAATTAAGATCTTGTTGTAAATGTTCATTGTGCTTCCATATTTTATAAACATGACAAGCACCAATATGAAATTTTTTTGACATTCTTTTTGATACATTTGGTATCTTCCCCCTTGATTCTCTAATTTCTATAATATCAGATTCAGATAAATAAGTCATATTGGGTCAATAAAATTTTTGATGAATATGGGTAAGCATCTTAAGATAGATATATATGTATTAGAAAAAAAAAAGTTTCAATAATTTTTCAAAACGTATTAATATCTATTGATACTTATTGATACCTATTGATACCTATTGATTGATGCCTATTGATAACTATTGTTACCTATTGTTATCTAATAATTGATGCCTATTGATACCTATTGTTACCTATTGTTACCTAATAATTGATACCTATTGATACCTATTGATATAAATATTTAATATATTTTTTTGTTATACATATATGAGAAAAAATACATGGTCAAGGTGTGTACATTGCAAGATATCAAGAGCATGGAGTCCAAAAAAATACAAGGGCAGGGGTATAGGCTTGGTAGTACCCACGAACAAGAACTCGAGAAGGCATTACATAATAGTATCAAGTCCAATTCTGAAATTACTAGTGAATATAAAAATATGCAAGTGGTATATTTGAATTGTAGCATAAATATCAATAAGGAGAATGAACAATAATGTTGCAATAATGAGAAACTCTCCAAGTATATATATCAACTTATAGATGAGGTTAAGCAATTACGCTTAAAGATAGATACTTTCAAATCCCTTATCACTGGTAAAGATCTTTCACTTAGTAAATTCAAGGACAAGATTCGTACAAAATCCAAAAAAATGAAAGATTTCTTATCTAAGATAGAGGCATTGGAGATGAAATTATCTTTAGCTCAGGAGGACTTGTCTATGAAAGAATCTGAGATTGACACCCTAAAGGCCAAATTATCTGTCTTGAATTCTATTCTAGTTTCAAAAAATAGTGAATTGGGGCATATGAAGAATACATTGGCTTCAAAAGATGACGAATTGAAACAAATAAAAGATAATCTGGTCTTGAAAACTTCAGAGATATACTCCTTAGAATCCAAGTTATTGTCAGTACCAATCAAGATCGGTGGTGAGGCAGATGAAAAAAAAATATCGAATTCTATCTTATGGAATGATGATGCCATCGCATCTGATATACATACCTAATAAAGATCTCAGTCAATATTTTATATGTGGAAAAGGTATGGATCAAGTTGGAAAAATCGATACAGATATACTGGATCGCACTGATGATAAAAGTGCTTCTATATCTGAGGAATCAGTAATTAAAGGCTATGCCCCATCTCCAAAAGTAGATATTGAGATTATTTCCAAGGTAAGTGATGAAATTGATATTAGCAAAACCAACAACAATATACTTCAAGAATTACTAAATATAACTTCTTATCTTGTACAGCCAGAAAATTATAACCCTTCTTTGATCGAATCATACTCTCAAATTTCAATAGAAGGAATAAGAGCAATCCCTGCTGTGGCAAGTACTTTGATGTCACCATTATTGGCATATATATTACTTACTTTATTAATTATTGCAGTTATGTGGTTCGTGATATTGAGACACACATGGGGGTTTGAGAGAAAAAATGATCGGTTACGGAATATGTGAATTAGATAACCGAGACTATCTATTTGAACTTCATTACTCAATTCTGGATATTTTATATAAAATAACTATTAGTTTTTTTTTTTGAACTTGAGAGAAAAAAGGAAAAAAGAGCACAAGAGTATAAGTGAGGCTGACTTCTTAAAACATAAGTGAAATTTTGAAACTAAGATGGGTATACCTACTACTCTACACAAAAAAGAACTGAAAAATAAATATTTAGCAATCATTGAATATACATAGGCATTATAAATTTTTAATAAAGCAGGCATAAGATACTAAGATAATACAATCTAGTTGAGTAGTAATTTTTAGAGCAGAGAGATTGCTATATTCAGCTAGTTATTCATCTTGGATAAGGGGATTTTTGTTGTCTCTTACAATAAGTATGAGAAAAAATTCAAATCAAAAATTAATATTCTGATACCTAGATTATATAATAAAGGAGTTTTTGTATCATGTAATTTCAGATGAGCAATCAATTACTTATCAAAGAGGGTTTTTGGTCATGGTGGGCAGATCTTTTATTCGATTTATATGTCTGCCTTATTGAAATTTCACATAAGTGCTAGAGGTATACAGATAAGATAAATTAATCAATAACTATTTTTATGTTATGTAATTTTGATCGAGGTAGTAAATAATTCGTATGTATTTGAAAAAAATTGGTTGTATAGTCAAGATATAGCCACTATATACCTGTTTTCAGTAATTACTAATATTATAAATTGTACTTTGGACAGATACCAAATAGGTGCGTTTTTGGCAGAAAATCAAGATATAATTATTATAGAAAGGGTAACTATACTTTGGATAGACACTAAATATAGATATAATTTGAAGAAAATCAATGTTTGGTTAAGGTATAATTATTAGAGAAAGGGTGGTTAGATACAACATATACTATTTTGATTATATAATTTGAAGCAAAATAATGTCTATCCAAGGTAAAATTATTACAGATATATAAAAGTATACTTTGGATAGACACAAAGAATATACATAATTCGAAAAAAAATCGGTATCCAGTCAAGATATAATTGTTATAGAAAGAATAGTTATACTTTGGATAGATACAAAGAGTATACATAATTCGAAGAAAAATTGATATTCAGTCAAGATATAATTGTTATAGAAAGGGTGGTTAGATACAAAACATACTATTTTGACTATATAATTTAGAAGAAAAATCAGTGTCCAGTCAAGGTATAATTATTACAGATATATTACTATGTAGAGAAATTATGCTTTGAATAGACATGAAATAGGTGTTCTATTTGATATACTAGTTGAAAAAATTGGTGTCCACCCAAGGTAAAATTATTACAGATATGTATATTATAAAAAATTATGCTTTGGATAGACACGAAATAAATAATAACAATTTGGCACTACGTGCCTCATCATCGAATGCTTTGGTATATTACCAGATATGTTAACAATTCAACACTACATGCCTCATCATTGGGTGATATTCAAACAAATTATGTGAAGCTAACAATTGCTAACAATTTGACATTATGTGCCTCATCCTTAATCAATATTCGAATATATTATACAAAGCCAGAATACGAATACTATTTCAGCACTACGTGCTTCAAACCTGGTCCTCATCGAAGAATTAACCAGAAAGCTAAGGCACTACGTGTCAAGTTCGGGCATAGCCCTTATGTCAGGCTCATAAATAATGATATATAATTGGATGCATCATCAGATATATTTTTTTATCTATGTGAGCCAACGACAGAAATCGGATATGGTTGCCAAACTAGCATACAATAGTTGACATGTGGCCTAACGACAAAAATTAACCACAGCTGTTATTGAGTGATGCACCAAATGCAATCTCCACATATTCTCAGCACATGCTTTAGTGACTCTTGAATGGCGATACAAACACAACCTACATATCATCAAACCATTAAAAGGAAGCAAATATCAAGCTTATTAAAGGTCAAAATAGGTAGTTATAGAATAAGTAGGTAACAGTATACTGATAAGTAGGTAACAGTATGCTCATAAGTAGGTAACAGTCTAGTATAAGTAGACAACAGTATATTGTTACACTTGATTTTTGCCCAAGATCTTCACTATCCCCTTGACTGTTTTTTACTAGCATTGACTCTTGAAATGTTAGTTATTCTAGAATAGTTTTGTATTACAGATCTGTTACTGCACCTTCGGCATCTATTATATCTATTGTATCTTTACCATTTCTAGAATATTTCTATTTTATTTTATCTTTACTTTCTATATTAT